AAAAAAGGGGATGTTTGGGCAACAAAAGGTAGTGTTGGACGAAAAAAGGTTGTGTTAGGGGCACAAAAAGGGATGTGTTGGACAGCAAAGGTTTGCGGGGTTAGGACACAAAAAGGGAGTGTTTGGTAAGAAAACATATGCAAAAAGTTAGGTATCTTTAAATTTTTAAACGTTTTTCGCCTACACAGTTGGGTTCTTCGGCGAGTACAGGGAAAAATTTGATAGAACAGAAGATTACCCTTTTTAAAACGATGTAATCTCCATCACCCTTAAAGTTTTGAGGTGGTCTTCCCCCAGTCGGAGAAAGCATAGTTTTCCCTTTTTCTGAAACAATCGAAGTTGAAAACAGAATCCCGGGCCTTTTAAAAATTTGCCAGGGGGTGAGGGCGGGATGGGTTTCCCCTATTGTCTTACCCAACAACGGGCGGGAATTTTTTACCAAATTTTAAAAGTTCATTCTGTCAGACAAAATGCAACACAAAGGGTTTTTTGGTACAGACCATCTACTTCAACAACCTCACTAGTGGAAATGGGTTTTTAGAAGGGCCTGCCCTCCAAACCAAAACCCACGTTTTCACCTCCTGGACTTTATAAAGGGCCCATTCTTTCCCTTCAACTTCGTATTGTTTCAGACAACGGAACAATGTCTTCCCCCAGACTGGGGACTGACCACCTCAAAACTTAAGGGTGAGGGGGCTGATTTCATCGTCTTCAAGTAATTTCCCGCTTCTATTTAACTTTTCGGGGGCCCACGAAGAAGCCTAAGGGGTTTGGGGGAAAAATTTCAAAAAAATGATAACCCCAAATGTTGCAAAGTGTCTTTCCCAACAATCTGTCGGATTTTATACCATTTTAATGTTTAAAAAAGGGAGTGTTTAGGACGAAAAAAAGGAAGCGTGGGTTTGGGCGAGCAAAAATTTGTGTGGGTTGGACGAACAAAAGTAGTGTGTTAGGACGAACAAAAAAAGTGTGTTTTGGAAGGACAAAAGGGATGTTTAGGGCGAACAAAAGGGTTGTTTTGGACGAACAAAAGGGGAGTGTGTTAGGGCGAACAAAAGGGAGGTGTTAGGACGAACAAAGGTATTTTTAGGGGCGAAAAAAAAGTTTTTTTTGTTTGGGTTTAACAAAAGGTAGTGTGTTTTGGGCGAACAAAAGGTAGTGTTTAGGGCAACAAAAGGTTTGTGTGGGTTTGGGGAAAAAAAGGGATTTGTTTAGGCAACAAAAAGGTTTGCGTGTTAACGAACAAAAGGTAGTGTGGGAATAAACACAAATGCGTATAATGGGGGAAACCTTTTTTGACTTCTTTTTGCCCACCCAGTGGGCTTTTTTTAAGTCACAAAGAACACCTGGGGGGGAAGGGAAAAGCCCCAGTATTTATTTGTTCCCCGGGTGAAAGGGCAGGTGGGAATGCTGCTTTTGATGTTTTACCGAGTTGGGTTTTAGATCTAAAAAAATTGGGGACTTGGAAAAAAACTGGGCAAAATTTGGGGAGCAGACCCCTTTTCATGTTTCTTATGTGGGGTTGCGATGAAGAAGTTTCTTGGCAAGTGGTTCAGCATGTTTTTAGAAGCCCTATTCTGGTTGAAGTTTTCGGATTAGAAAAAAGTGAGATTTTCCGGATTTCCCTTTGGGATTATTTTTGTCTTCTTTTGGCGAAAAGGGGCTTTATTTCTGTTTGTTTTTTCAATTTGTGTGAATTACGGTTTTTTGTACGCAGGCATTCCCTTTTGCGTCGACCTGCTTGCTATTGGGGTTCTGAAAAACGTGTTTGGAAGGGCCCTTGAGTTTCGCCCCGTTAACTTTTTCAGTCATTACAAGGGGTTATGTAAAACCCCTGCAGAGGATGGAGGGTTTTTCCTGGCCCATATGGGTTTAGGGCCTTGAAGGGCGTGGTTTTGGGGTAATTTCTTGGGAAAGATGTTTTGGGAAAGATTTTGGAAAAAATGTTTGGGCAAAGGGGTTTGGGGGGGAAAGGGCTATGTAAACTCTTCTCGGCAGTGTTTTTCCTGGGGGGGTTGAAGATTTTTATTTCTCGCCAAACATGTTTTTCCCAAAAATCTTTTCCAAAAATCATTCCAAGTATCAAAATTTCCCCAACCACACCATCAAGGACATCACCAGTAGTAGGCGGGGCAAGCCTCCATCCTCTGCAGGGGTTTTTCATAATCCCTTTTAATGACTGCAACAAATTATACGTGGGCGAAACATCAAGGGACCTCCAAACACGTATTTCAGAACACCAATACGCAAGCAGGTCTGACGACACAAGGAATGCCTGCGTACAACACCGTAATTCACACAACCACTTGATAAACTACAGAAACTCAAGACTTATCGCCACAGAAGACAACACTCAATACCGAAGAATCCTGGAATCATCACTTATTTCTATATCCGACAACTTCAACCAGAATAGTGGCTTCTATAACATAAGCTGAACCCTTGCCAAGAAACTTCTTCATCGCTATCCCACATAAGAACACTGTAGAAGGTCTGCTCACAAACTTGTCCAGTCTCCTTTCCAAGCTACCCAAGTTTTTAGACTCTACAACCCAACTCGGTACATCATCAGATGCAGCATTCTTCACCTGACCTCAGCCGGACTATAAATACTCGCGTTCCTTCCACCCCAGGTAGTTCTGTTTGTGACTTGAAAAAGCCCACTGTGTGGGCGAAACGTAGTCAATAAAGGATCACATTATACTGCATTTGTGTTTATATTGCCATTGTGTCGGTATTTTATACCATTTATTTCCAAAAGGTAGTGTGTTAGGACGAGGTGAGGGACTAAAAAATATCGAATCTGAGACTTGAATGATTTGGAAGAATCTGCAAAGATTAACAAAGATTTGTGGAAAAAGACACTTATGTACAGTTCAGGACATTTATTAAAGGAAACGTTTCGCCACGAGTGGCTTCTTCAGTCCTAATACAGAGAAAACTAAGAAAACACACATATATATAGTGGTGGGAGTCAGGTGAGGTGAAGCGTGGGTAGAGGTGGTAATAGTAGTAGTAGTAGTAATTGAACTAAGGAGGTGAGGTTAGAGAGGGACCTGCTGGCATCAAGTAACACCAGTTCCCAGGATGGGTAATATCCTCTTGCTTAGTAATTTTGAAATACTGTAACTACCGGATTTTTGCTTTATAGTGTTACTGACAGAAATTAGTGCAGCTTCAATGCATTTTCTCCGTCTTAAGTCGTCTTCTTTAATAACTAGTTTAGCTTCATTGAATTTCAATTCAATGAGCTAAAACTAGTTATTAAGAAGACGACTTTAAAACGGAGAAAAGTGCATTGAAGCTGCACTAATTTCTGTCAGTAACACTATAAAGCAAAAATCCGGTAGTTACAGTATTTCAAAATTACTAAGCAAGAGGATATTACCCATCCTGGGAACTGGTGTTACTTGATGCCAGCAGGTCCCTCTCTAACCTCACCTCCTTAGTTCAATTACTACTACTACTACTATTACCACCTCTACCCACGCTTCACCTCACCTGACTCCCACCACTATATATATATGTGTTTTCTTAGTTTTCTCTGTATTAGGACTGAAGAAGCCACTCGTGGCGAAACGTTTCCTTTAATAAATGTCCTGAACTGTACATAAGTGTCTTTTTCCACATCTTGTCGGTATCACCATACCATTTCCTCATAACAAAGATTTGCAAAGATTAGCAATCTAAATTGGAAAGGTATGTAAAAGCAGGAAATTAAAAGTGATTATTGGAATGAACAAGATAATGAGAGCAATGAGAAGCTCAGGCAATAAAAGATCAGATATTTGAGAGTAGACTTTTTGGCAGATGTAGCCATGGAAACATGAAGTGAACCACAGGAATAAATCAAAGGAAAAAAATGTGAGTTGTGCACTGAGGTATCTGTGGAGTCAAAAACCTTGCCAACGAATGCAAAATAGAATTGTACCAGAGGATAGTGGTGCCAATACTATCATATGGGTATGAAGCATGTCTTTTAGACGTTGCAACAATGAGTAGGCTGGAAGGAGTTCAGATGTCATGTCTAATGGGTGTTCGTCACACATATATTATGTAGAGAATTTAGAGATTAATAAGATGCTAGAGAACAGAGTCTAGAAATTTCCAGAGGACAAAACAAGATAGGAATATTAGGAGGTCATATAAATTTCGGATGGAAAGGAGAGACATGAGTCGTCCTAAGAAAGTCCGAGGGAGGAAGAAACGAGGCTTTGACTGGTAGGGGCTCGAACATCGAACAGGTTAATGTGAGCGAGTTAGGAGTGAGTGGGGTGCAAATGATTTTTACTTTTTGACTGCGTTGGAGTGCGGCAAATTAAAAATTTCTAAGTACTTCGGATTAAGGAAAAACCGTTAGCCGGGCCT